TTTAAGCGCTTTGTGGCTGAGGGTTTATGCGTTGGACTTGGCGGCTTCGCGTGTAGCCAAAGATCGTACCCACAGTCTTGGTCATTAAGGAGTTGCCCGCGGTAGATACCTTCTGCTGCCCTCGAAGTTCCTTTCTGTCGCATCCTTTGTGCAGGAGCTGGAAGCTGATAATTTACAATGAGGTCAGAAACAGATGTCAATTCAATCGGGAGCCTTCACGCCTTAATCGATCAGCATGTGGCATGCCGGATTTTTTTGAGCAGGGCCCATTCGAGACTCTATGGGTCATTTAGGGTTGCAAGTCTTGTTCGAGCTCTAATGTTTTTTTTAATCATGGATACCGGCTTCTTACATAATATTGGTATAGGGTACCCAAACAGACATCTAAACATAGTCCCCTAGTTAGCTGGAGCAAGGTGGTACGTGCCCAAAGTGCGGCCCCGATTTTGAAGGCTCCTGCATTCCAACGTGCTCAAAAGACACCCCAAGGAAAGCACCATGCCTTTCTCTAAGTCCTAAAGCCGAGTACTTGGCAAACCTCCCCACACACTGGGTTCCTTAAATCCCTATATTCCCCCAGTTTCCATTTCATTTTCCATTTTCTTTTCCATTTGATTCTCCATTACAGGGGGATAATGGAGTAACTTAATTTAAGTTCCTTAACAGCAACCCAGCACAGGACGGCTGGGGATGGAATGACTCTGACAGCAACAGCGGGAGGTATCTTGCCGAGCACTGACTGGAAGCAAGGGCTCAGGATGTGGAGGGACGATGTTGAAAGTTCAGCATACATACCGTCCAGGGGCCTACATTAGATGGGACGAAGATGCATAGGCATAGGAAGGGATAGTATGTAGTAAGTAGTAAGAAGGGTGCGTGGTCCATTTGGCCAAGAAGGATTTCCATCACCGTAGGTAGGGTTCATGTGGGAGCTTCTCCACTTGATTTCATATAATCCGTACAAGGCCCCACATGGGGTCCCACAGTCCCCCGTTTTTGTAATCCCTGAGGTATTCCGACTACGATTCCGATGGCTCGTGAAGCGAGCGTCTTCGCTTGGAAATGTGCGGCGCAGGGTTGCTATTTACCGGGAGGTTATGAGGGTTTAGGGTTGGTCTATGGATTAGCTTCGTCTATATGTGGGTTCGTATGTAGGTCACCTGGAGTTACAGCAGGCAATGATTACAACTTGGGCTCTCAGTGCCCTGCTTTTATCTTTCTCATGCTGAGTTTGGGACAGGGGCAGGGGCTCCTGTCGTCCCTAGGCTTAGGAATGACCATGCAGTGGTCCCTATCGCAGGTTATGCTTGCTTTGGTCAAGGTTTGGAAATGCTACCTATTTGGGGCGAGTTGGATCCCGGGAAAGTCACAAGCAGCAAGCTTTGCACCAGTCGCCACGATCAGATCTTTCTGACGAAAACAATCAAACATAATCAAGCCAGAGTGCGGGCAATGTGCTGTGTAGACCTCAGTTTGAGGAACAGTGGTTTTGATTTCAGTCTGTGCCACTCCTGGGGAGCGGGTGCCTTCCCACACCTTGTACCAGTACCAGCAGATTAGACTCATGCCAAGTCCCTTCAGTAGCGAAAAGGCTGCTGTGAGCAACTGGACCACCAACAGACATCCTGAAATGCAAGCCAGTCGTTGCAAACTCTAGAGGAGAACCTAGCAATACCCAACATGCAAGCATCCCCACATACCCGAGCAGACGAGGGCAGTCCCCATCCGCTAGAAGTTCGTCCTTGAGTTGAGAGCTCAGAGGACATGGCGTGGCTTGTGCAGTCTGGGTGGCTACGCGCCGTGAGCCACGATGGGTGCTTTCCACATGAGCCCGGTGTGAGTCACTTCCCTGATCTTCATAGGAGCGAGCATCTGAACAGTAGCTGTCGGGTAAAAGGTATTCTGCGGTTGTTTTCAGTATGATGAGCCTGCGACTTAGCCCGTGACTCATACGTAGGTGACTGCCTGCATCACCCGCTTTTCTTGCGTCTGGCTAGTAGGGAACGACGGATTCACGTACTAACCGAATGATGGATTGGATTCCTCGTTCTAATATCCCCGAGCTTTGGCTCTTGAAAAGCCCGATGGTCTTTGCCGCCAGAACTCAGGCATCCATAAGTGGGCTAGAAGACTGAGAATGAGTTTCTCAACCAGAAGGTGGATTACAACAAGCTCATGCAAACATTCCTTCTTCTGCTTTAGGCAGAAAAGGGGTTTCTTAAAAGTATGAGCGCCTTTTAAGGTTCTTTTTTACAGCAGGGTCTGCATCTTATGGGGGGACGTAGCCTGGACGATTTCCCGGACGCGTTTAGGGAATAAGGGCATGTATGTTATCTACGGATTATATAGGGATTATATTCCCTGCTAAGAAGCACGGCCCAGTCTGGCGTAAACACACGCCAAACTAAACCGCCTATGCAAATTCCATTTATAGACTCGGTAGCAACGGAAACCCGTGCCAAAAACAAGGAAATATTCGCACGAGTGCCAACCTTCTCAGGCCGAGGCTCTTTTGTGCTCACTCAAACAGCCATTGCTTGTTGTGCTGAATGTCTGCATACTGGCTCAGATCACCGCCCAAAAAGCTGGCCCTAGCCCTCTGTTTGACGCAAGACTATCCAAGACAGTAGCAAGTCCGGGGCTATGCAAGAGGCGGAGGCAAGCTAAGCGAGTGACGTGAGCTTGCTCGGCGCCATCCAACCCAGTGCATGCACACATCGCAACTTGTTCTTACCATGCGCCATGTCAATGTGGCTCTCCCACTGGGGTTATCATCTTACCACAAGCGCTCTAGTCACTTTGGGAGAGAGAAGCGCTGCAGGTCTCCTGGCCACGGCTGCCTGCTTGACAGTTCCCTGCTTCGCAGACTGAAGTTTGCTCATCGTCCAGGATCTCGTAGGCGTCATTTCATCAAGGTTGTGCCCAGAGATTCCAAAAGCCCT